CCACTCCTTTTATTTTCTTTTTTTTTTTTTTTATTTATTTGGTTTAACCTCCCTGTCCTCTCTGAATAGGCCCTAACAGAGAACTCCAAAACTGCAATCATGCAAATCGTCCCACCGGGGTTTTTGTAATGCTAATGATATCAAATGCATGCTCATCAATGAGAATGCTTAATTCCCCTTGCTCATTATCAGTTGCACACTGATATAGAAGCATCTGGAAAATTAATCTCCTCACACAAACAATGTTTGGGGACTCCTTGCCACCACCTTAGCAGCCCCTGCCCCAGAGCCTCCCAGATGACACTGGGCACCAGCACTCAAAAGCCACCAGCCCTTTGCCCCTTCTTGCAAAGCTTGAAACTTTGGTGTTTGATTTGCAAAATTACTTAGGTCCTGAATTTGTGACTGAAAATCAACAGGAGAGGCCCAGAGAACATCTACATGCTATCTAGCATTTCAAAAAGTGACACCCAAAGCAAACTCCAAATAGATGTTTTACCTACTAGGTTTCCTGCCTATAAAACAGCAATAATACCCTATTGGCTTCTGGGCCTCTTGTGACATCAGTTAATGCAAATTGATGATGCTGCTGGACACGGGGATGACAAAACACGAGAGGAAGGTAGAGCCCTGTTGGCAGAACGGGGTCTGGGTATGTGCAGCAGGCAGCTGATGGGCTTGTACACTGCATGTGGAAGGAGAAAAAAACCCCAACTATCTACTTCCCCCCCCCCCTCCTCTGTGAGCAGTGTTCTGCCCCCGCGGGGAACAAAGAAGGGACTTTGTGGAGAAAACAATCTGTCCTTGCGTAACCGAGCACGACGTGACACCTGTGCACCAGGAGCCCACTGGGAGAAAAGGAAGTCTGGCACTTCTGAAGCCAAAGGGCACGTTTCCAGCCACGGCAGCGCTGCCTGGGTGTGCGGGTTCAGCACCACCGGGGCTCTGAGCAGGGAAACCCCTCCCAGAGGCCCCTGGCCGGGGTGCCAGCCGAGGCTGTTGTGTCCAAACGCTCTCAGTGCTGTTGCTTCTCTGGGCTTCATTTGGTGGCTGGGGTGTTGCTCTCCTGACAGCAAAATGAACCTCCCTTCTTTCCCCGGCTCCCAAGGAAAAAGTTCTCACACCTTCTGTTTTACAGCTTCTTCTGTTACCACTTTTTATTTATTTATTTATTTTTTAAATTGCTTTTCCCCAGAGGCTGAGGGGAGGGGAGAAGAAGAGCCAGGCCCTTCCTTCCTCCCTGCCGCACCGTCCCGCAGGGAGCCCGGCTGCGGGCCGGGGATGGAGCCCCTGGGAACACGGGGGAGGGGGGTCCCCCTCGCTCCCTGCGCTCCCAGGATGCCGGGTACCCGCAAAGCCACCTCCTGAGCCCTAAGGCTCCCCAGTGAGGCAGCCCCGGGGACCACGCAGGCTCTCTGGGGC